GGGGGGGGGGAGAAAGGGTCAGCTGTCTTTGTCTACGGGTGACTGTGTTTGCTCATCAGATCCCCTCTTCAATATGGTTGAGGACAAGGAGGCTGCGTGGACGTACTTTCTCGCCACGTGCAACTTCGACACCTCCCAGGACCGCGACTTTATCCTTATCCCTCTGATGAAGGGCGACCCGTTTCCAATCGCCTTCGATGCTGAGAACCTCTGCATGCCCGTCGAAAGGTCACCGCGAGACCACCAACGACGATATTATCCACTCTTCGTATGCTGCCTCGTTTGCTCCCAGTTATGACATTCGCGGCCACTCGTGTCTCCCGCCCAAGTCATGTGAGCTGCCGTTCAGCCACGGGATGGGTCGGTATGACTTCCATGTGGACTCATACATGGCGTCCAAGGGCGTGTGTGAGGGGGATCTGACCATCACGAGGGCCAAGGAGGGAGGGGAAGACAACTTCGGCTACTACAAGCGCGTCAACAAGGAGTTACGTGCAGCTATGACGACAAGTCCACCACCAACTTCTGGCTGGGGGAGAAGTGTAGGCGCAGCAGCTGCGATGGCATCTCAGTAGCAAATGTGCAGCGATTCGTCCCTTGTTGTGTGCCTCAGTCCCTGAGCCGAGCAAGGTGTGCGGCCATCCGTTCGAGTATCGGCTGATAGCTGGCTTCAAGTGCTCAGAGGACATCTTGAGAGAGCTCGACTGGCTCGGCCTGTATGGGCACGACCGAGTCAAAAAGGAGCTGGTGTGCAGGGGCGAGTGCGCTTTCCACCCATTCTGCATCGCATATAGCCTGGAGGTGCGATCCATGTGGCAGAGAGAGACTGCATGTGAGTCTTTGTGTGCAGGTTGACCCAAAGAACAGGAGCGTGACGACGTGCACTCTGTGCAAACGCGCGGACACGTGGAATCAGCAGGACAGCGTGTGGAGCGGCTACAAGCTCTTCGACGTCTCCGCTAACCAGGCGTGCACCATATCTGACGGATGCTTCCTGCAGGCGCAAAAGAGCGAATCGAGTGTGTGCGCACAAAGGACAACACACTGCAACCGACACATCGGGGGGGGGGGGTATGTGTGCAGGTGAGCAGATGGCGTGTGACCACAGTGCGGGCCCGCCGCGCAGCGTTGGCATCCCGAGTGTGGCCATCCACCGGGTGGCCGACATCAGCATACACGATTCCGTGACCAGCAAACCTGAACAGGACATGCTCTGCAGGTCAGCAGGCAGCCCAACACACCGCACCACACCGCACCTGCATGCACCATATGTGTCCGTCTGTCTCCATGTATTGGTTGGACCCACACTGCACTGCAGGGCGTATATGGTGGATGAGCTGCTTCGGTATGACGAAGGGAGGGATATAGGGTGTTACGAGATCCAGAGGGACCGCAGCGGGGAGGTCGGCAACACCTGGTGCAACCTATACGACAACACACGAATGACGCAGGCGGGCGGCAGCTACCGCAGTGGCAGGGTGACCTTCCCACTCTGCCCAAAAGAAAGTGAGCACTGCACTGCCGCACACACACGACACGAGAGACACGCATTCTGGTTGAGACACACTCTTTTCTCTCCCGATCAGAGCGTGAGCTGAACGCCACTGCGGCAAATGCCACCTCCCTGCCGCCTGGGGAAGTTATAAGGACTGAAGATAACTTGGTTGATTATGGCGATAATGCCACTTCGAGCGTCTCCATGCTGTCTCTCTCTTCTCGATCGAGAACGAGGAGAGGCTGGCACGGCGGATGGGGCGTCGACAGACGGCACCTGCAACTGCTCAAGGGCGACACGAGTCCCAATGTCACGGTGGCCAAGACAGATAATGCTTCGCACGTGTTATCGTTGAGCCATGACGGTGAAAGGACGAAACACTTACCATAGCAATGTGTTCATGCGCAGCATGTGTACGTGGTGAGTGTCCTTTCTGCTGGCTGCGGCAGTGCTGCCGCACGTTCGCTAGTCGCTAGATGATGCCTTCCTGTTAGTCACATGTGTGGCATTCGCTTTTGCCATTAATTGGTCTTCATGTGTATGTGTGTGTCTGTGTTAACTAATGACCTTTATGCGTCGCATACCCATCTATCATGTCGCCCTCATCTCTAAGCTTCACAAACACGGTGTCGACATGCACGTCAGCCTAGCTCAGCCCGTATTCATGAGTCTATTGGCTGTTGTCCTTGGGCCTCGGTGATAGACATGTCCGGGGAGAGAGGCCGATCCAGCCAGACCTGCGACCACATAGCCAAATCCATTGGGGAAGTGAGAAGGTGACGCGCCGGGTGGCTTACTTTTGTGGTGGTGCTGGTGGTGGTTTGGCCTGCATCTCGTCAAAGAAGGACGACATCTGTGTGTCGACCTGACCAAAGACGGAGAGGACGGCGGAGTACGTGGTACCTGCATGTTGCCGCTGTATGCCTACAGAGTTGAGTTGCATTCTCAGGACATCGTTTTTCTGTCTCCTCAATGTCGCTATCTCCTCGAGCAAACTTTGCTGACACACACACACATACCTACGTCGTACAGGCTCTCGGGTTCTCGGATTTGTGTCTCTCTCAGGCTGACCAGGACTTTTGCCTCTCTGCCCTGGTCAGTGTCGGCTATCTCCTTGAAGCTGGCAACAATCTCACTGCACACACACACACACAAAAACACACACACAGCGCCCAGTCAGTGTTGTTTTCTTCCCAAGTGTATGTGTGTGTACTTCAGTGAGTGGTCAGAAGAGTAGAGGGTCTCCCTTGCGCCCGTGAAGGTGCCCTTGAGTGTCATCTCGGATACGTCTGTTTCCCTCAGTGCACTGAGCTTGGCCTCACACAGGTCGACCATCCTGCTGGAACCATTGCCGCCCTCTGAAACACACAAGAATAAACAGCACAGAAGAGATTCATTTGTACTGAGTGTTTACGACGTGTGTCCCGCCCACCGGTTGCTGATGCGGCTGCTCTCTTTGACAGGTCCCATAGCAACTGCTTCCGCCGATGCCACAGACGGACCTGAGAGACGTGCAGGCAGTGAGTGGGATCTGCAGAGTGGATGGATGGATGGATGGCTCATGCCATGCCATGCGTGTCCCTCCCTCGTACACACCTTACTTACCGCATCCTCAGCCTTTTTCTTCTTCTCCTGCTGCTTCATCTTCTCCTGCAAAAATGCATGACCGAGATGAATGACACGCGCAGTTTGGCTTCCTCCCGCCTGCCCAACTCTCTCACTGTTTCCAGCTCCCCCCTCTGCAGCATCAGTGCCATTCGGCTGCTCTGGTTGGCCCTTCACGGACGCACCCACATATATGGTGGAGGTCTGTGTGTCTCTGTGTGTGTGTCCTCACTCTTGGAAATGCATCGCATCGGCCAATTTCATCTGCAGCGCGCGCAAGGGCTGACCTTGCAGGTCGTTTTCCTTGGCCTTGAGCTCATCAATTGTCTCCGACAGGTGCTTCTCCTGCTGCTCCACACTCACTGCGACACAGGCACCGGCGGACAGCGGCAAAGTATGTGTACGTCTCGTGTCTCTCCTTCTCTCTGTGTGACCGATTTGTTGTTTGATATCTTCAAGCTCGGTGTCTATGGATGTGTTGGTGTGGGCGGCCGCTGCCCTCTCGTCACGCTGAAACAAGCGGACGGGGGAGCTTTCACGTAAGTCAGGTGCGGTGGTCCTTAGTACGTACCTCCGCTGAGATGAATTCATCAATGCTGCTGAGGAACTCATCCAGCTCACGATTGCCCACTTCCAGATCACGCACCTTCGCCTTGGACGTCTCCTTCTTATCCGAGACACGCCGCTCAGCTGCACACAGAGTGACTGTCTCCGTGAATTAGTGTTCCACGTGGTGCCGGCAGTGATTACCCTTAGTCTTGGAAAGAGTCTTCTGCAGGGACTCCACCTGTTCTTCCAGGTACTTGACGTGGTCCGGATCGCCCGTCGTGCCGGCGATTGTCTTGGTGCTGACGCATACAGTGACGCCCCTCATCCGGCCCACAAACTGGCTGGCCCTCACGACGCATGTCGGCTTGGCGGGGTTGAGGGCGCCACCGCTGAGGAACACAGCCGCCTCCCCCCACACGTAGACCTCGCCTTCAGCGGTGACCGCCGCTGAGGAGTGAGGGCCCGCTGATATGTGCTTGCAACGGGACATGACCTGAATGGATGGATGGACATGACATCGATGCGTGTGCAGCCTAGCCTAGCCTGCCATGTGTGTGCCTTCCTTGTTTGCAAGGCAATGCATACCTTGACCGGCTCTGTCTTGTCGTGGCTGTCATTGCAACCGACTTGGCCGCTTTTGTTGCGGCCCCATGCAAAGACACTGCCGTCCACTGCCAACGCCAAGCTGTGGTGCTTCCCTGCACGAATGCGGGCAGCGCATGAGCATGGAGAATCCGTCTCGTTGGTTAAAGGAAAAACAGAAGCTGACCACAGGCGACCACCTTGACTTGATGGTCAAGGAGTGCATTGATGGGAAAGGGCTGCTCGTTTTCTTCCTGAGAAGGAAAGGCACAATCGATCTACCAGCTGAGAATGACAACAACGTGCCCTTCTGTCTCTCTTGCCCTTTTCTGTGCCGGACGCCCCAGCTGCCCATACTCATTGTCCCCCCAAGAATACACAATGCCCTCATCTGCAAGACATCACACACACACCAGGCACAAACAACCACAGCCATCGATTCAGTGCAATGTGAGACAAGCCTGATCTAAGCCCCACCAGTGGCCAGGAGGCCGTGCCGCTCTCCAATGGCCACCGCTATCACCAATCTGCCAGGCGGAGGCGCCTCCTTCGCCGCTCCATTGACGAAGTAAGATGCCCGCACGTCGCCTCTTTGCGCCTTGTACCCGATCATCTGGGCGGGCGGACGCAAGCAAAGCGCTCACACAGCGACAGAGAAGCCTTGCTGCCAGGCAAAAAGATCACTGGAGGCCATGGAACCAAGACGCTTGCAAGCGCGCAACTTGAATGCGATCGCCCGAGGAGGAGGTCAAGAAAGCCTTGTCTTGACGTCTGAGGGGCTCCGCGTTGCCTTAGTTGTGCGTGAGGCGCCAAGGGGTTCGGCGACGGACAGCTCCCGAGACGCCCAGCGCCACTTCCGAGTTCCAACCTCGAGGTTCCAACAGCAGAGTCTGACGGGCCTGAGACCCACAGAGGAGGGCTGTCCCGGGCAGCATTCAGCACCTTGGGCTCAGCTGTGCTGCGTGTGTCCCATCAACTGTCTGCGAAGTCGTTGTTTCGGCCCCAGAGACGCCCATTCCGGTGTATCCGGTGTGACTTTGCGCGTCTGCGTGAGTTGGTGAAGTTTGTCGAGTGTCCCGATGAAGCTGCAGCCGCGCAAGGAGCGCGAGAGAGCCTTGGAGAGGATCCGTAAGCCAACCTGGGCCGGTGACTGCATGCGCATGGGGTGTATGCTTCTTTATCCTTGCACGCATGCAGATGAGGTGATTCTGTTGTACCACAAGCCGGCGCCCACGCCCTCCACCATCCCAAAGGATCAGACGTACTTCAACAGTAAGTGCGCCCACAGCCCTTCTCACCAGCCATGAGCACATGCTGTGTGTCTGTGTTTGTGTGTGCGTGGTTGGCTGCTGGTCAGGTGTTGTGATCAAGCAGGAGCCGGTTGACGACGACTATTTGCCTCCCGTCCACCACGCCCCTCCCCAGCCCAAGCCCAAGCCCACGCCAAGGCCCAAGAAGGCCAGCAAGCCCGCTGCGGTCAAGAAGCCGATAGTCAAGAAGACAGGCGCCGCCAAGAAGAAGCCAGCCCCGCGCAGACACGTCACATCAGCGCAGCGCAAGCAGGAGCGTGCTTCGAGCCCGCGGGCCCGAAGGGTGTCGACCTCGTCTGCCAAGAAGAGCAAGAGCGTGCCAGCCAAGAAGGTCGCCCCCAAGAAGCCGAAGGCCATGCCGACGGTGCGTGTCAAGCAGGAAGATGAGGACGAGCAGCCCAACATTGCCGTGGGGGCGGGGGCTCAGCCGGCAGCTGCGGCTGCGGTGCCGTCATCGGGTGGCGGGGGGCTGTTTGGGTTTGTCAAGGGGCTGTTTGGGGTGCGGGGGTGAGTATGTGGGGGAGGCAGAGATAGATAGGATGATGGATGGATGGATGGATGGAGGGAGGGAGGGAGGGAGGGAGGGAGATATGCCACATACCTCCACCCCTGTATAACTAGTGGACAGTTGAGTGAGCGAGCGAGTGAGGGGACACGCCTGTGGGTCGGGTCAGTGCAAGCAGACGCCAACTAGATGACCATTGAATGATGATAGACACGACACACCTGACAGCGCATCGAAAGGGACGCAGTGTTTTCATGTCAATGGTCTGCAGCTCACACAACCCGCCACATCGGCTCGGTATGTCACACTCTACATGCGCACATCGGCTAAAAGACGCGCGACTAAATCGCCATCGCAATCGAGGCAGAACCACATAACGCCAGACAGTCTCTTGATCACTTGCTCTCGGGTGCTTTCGGCTTGGGCGTCCAGTAATAGTCCTGCAGCCGATCGATGGAGTTGTCGCCATCAATCAGCAGGATCTCGCCATTGGGGTAAGGCTTTTCATCAGATATGAGCTTGCACACAAGCTCGCCAATGAGCATCGGATCGCCGAGTTGGCGGCTGGGGTTGTTGGCGTACGCCCACTCCTGCAGCCACGACACACACACACACACGTATCACCTGGTCGACGGTAGATGAGCTTCCTGCCTGTTGTGGTACCTGTGTGGTCTCAAATCCATCTTGCTTTGCATCGTCAACTAGCATGTCGCTCTCGAAGCCGAACGGCGCGATGCCGTAGACAAGCACAGGATGATTCGGGTACTTCGACCTGAAGCTCTCGCTGACAGAGAGAAAACGCACCCCCCCCTGGACACATCAACATTGTCGCCTGGCTGCATTTCCGTGCGGAGCCAGACCTGGTCACGTATTGCAGTGTCGACCATATGAGGCTGTTGACCGCACACTTGCTGGCAAAGTAGGCAGGGAGAGAGCCACCAGCCACGAAATGGTCCGCCGGTGCGCTGTAACACGATGATATGTTGATTATCACGAGGGGCTTGTCTGGGCGTCGATTCCTGAGGTAGTCTTTGATGGCCAGCTGTGTGCTCGTCAGCACCGCAGTCGTGTTGACGCGCATGACCCTCTCGAACTCTCCTGGCTCCGACTCGAGCAGATCTGCTCGCTCCGCTGTACCTGCCACACCCACACCCACACCACACATCAATCCCACTGACCTGTGCACTCATTGCAGGACGCATCCGCCGTCTGACCTGCGTTGTTTACAATCACGTCTACCCTTCCAAATCGCTCGATGGCCTCATCAAATGTGCGCTCCAGATCCCCAGGTTTTCCAACATCGCACTCCACCGCCATCGCATAGCGGCCTTCCGGCAAAGCATGCCTCGACGGGCGCACGTCATCGTTGAGGTGCCGCACTTCCTCCTGGCATCTCTGCCGGTCCCGTGAGGCCACAACCACCATGTGGCCGCTTCTGATGAGGGCAGTTGATATCCCTTTGCCAATTCCTCGTGCGCCGCCAGTGACAATGGCCACACGTGCATCCGGAAAGCCGTCGGGCCACTGCAAAGATCCACTCATTGTTTCCGGTCGCGAGCTTGAGCTCGCAGGGAAGGCCTGACTGAAATCCTGCTGTGAAGAGGGAGATAACCAGGAGATAACCGAGCACTGCTTCTCTGGAGAGGGAGATTGCACGGGAACAGGAGGATGCCAGTGAAGTTTGACGCCTGCTGCAGACGGCGATAACCACATGGAATGGCTGACAGCATCGGCTGGAGATGGCAGGATGTAGCATCGGCTGGAGATGACATCCTGGTGGAGCAGGAATCAGCGCGTGCAGCAGCCAAGATCAACCACAAAGCCTCCCCGTGGTCCTGGCGCATCCTTGGCTGCTGCAGCATCATGATCCTGATGAGTGCCGCTTTCCTCACCATAGCCGTTATCTCGCGGTACATTGTGCTCTCTCATGGGCGGAGTCTGGTCGCCGAAGCTGAAGATCCGCTGGACAGCACCCCGCCGCCCTGGCTCTTCTTGCCCGTCAAGCAGTGTCCGATTGAGTTGGCTCGGAGCGTCTTCACTGAGGATGACCTCTATGCGCTGAGCAACGACCAGGTTGACGCCTTCACTGCCATTGAGGTGGACGGGAGGTGCCCGCCTCTCAGCAGGGCGTGCGGCTCGTTCGCCGAATGGCTGGCCGAGGAGAGCGCGCTGCGTGCTGTAGCTGTGAGAAACACGATAGGTGAGTCACCAGACCAGCAACAAGGCCACTGTGATATATCTCACACGCATCCTGCTGTGTGTGCCCTGTTTGTTGTGTGTGTGTCGCCCAGCCCACGCGTGGGACCAGTACGCGATTCACGCGATGGGCGCCGATGAGATCGATGTGGTGCATGGGGAGCCAGCCGCCGAGTGGGGCGGCACATTCGCCGTGCAGCTCATCGACTCGCTCGACACCCTCTATCTGGCGGGCTTCCACCAGCAGTTTGATGATGCCATCGAGTGGCTGGTCGACAATGTCCACTACGACCACCACATCAACGTCAATGTGTTTGAGACGACCATCAGGCAGCTCGGTGGGCTCCTCAGCGCATACCACCTCTCTGGCTTGCCGAGGCAAGACGACAGGTGGGGCGCCCAGCATGAGCCCTTCTACGACCGGGAGGATCTCCTGGACAGCGCTGTGTCGTTGGGCGAGCGACTGATGAGGGCCTTCCCGTTGCCATTGCACTTGCAGCCCGACAGGAATGTCACTGCTGCAACTGTTGCGGGGGATGTGGAGGGTGGCGTGTGCGTGGGGTGGAGGTGTGAGAGCATGATGGCCTGGGAGTTCGAGGAGCTGCTGGCGTCGGATGTCAACCTGCGCACGGGCGAGACCCAGAACCTGGCACACTTTGCATCCCTGGCCGGTACGGTGCGGTACCTGTGCCGATGGGTGGGGGCACGTGGCGTGGCGTGGCGGCGCTCATTCCTGCCTGCCTGTTGTCTGTCTTTTCTGCAGAGGTGGGCACTCTCCAGCTGGAGCTTAAGATGCTAAGTGAGTTGACGGGGGACTGCCGCTTCTCTCAAGCAGCCGACGCGACGCTGGACCTGATCGAGAGGAAGCTCCAGATCTCCGACCAGGGCCTGGCGCCCATCCTGTTGGTGCCATACACTCTCAGCCCACCACGAGCCAACATGGACCCTCGATGCCACCCCTTCCTCCCGCCCGAGTACATGGTCTATTTCAATATGAAGCTCGTGCAGGACCAGGAGGGTGGTGAGGGAGAGGCCACCGTGAGCGATCCGGTGGTGTACCCGCCGAGGTGTCCGGTCTTCTCTCTGGGGGCCAGAGGGGACTCATTCTACGAGTACTTGGTCAAGGAGTGGATTTCGACTGGTGAGGGAGGGCAAGAGTGAAGGGCTTACAGAAATACGTGCGTATCGACCCCTTGTGTTCTTTCTGCCCGGCAGGTCGGTCCGACCCCGTCCTCGAGAAGATGATAGCAGGTTTCCTGCAGCAGCTGCCGATCCTGCTGGTCAAGACCACCTACACGCCGCCCCCCCTCCCCTATAACATCACGTCGACTCCCCCAGACAGCCCCCTGGTGCAGGGCCTGGCTGAGGGCTCCCTACACTTCCCTGCGAAGGAGATGGTCTATGTGCGGGAGGTGATCGGCGACCAGGGGACGATCGAGGGGTCCTTCCGGGCATACTTGGCCGTCAAGCGGTGGAAAGAGGAAATGGGTTTCGTGGATAGGGATGCAGGGGCATCTCAACACGGAGAGGAGGAGGGCGAGAGTGGTGAGGACGCAGAGGCGGCTGCTCTGGTCAGACAGTTCCACGCCATCATGCCCAAGTCACCCATCGGAGACCCCAAGATGGACCATCTCGTGTGCTTCCTTCCCGGGCTCATCATGCTGCTTGTCGCCAGTGGCTTCTTCGAGCACCGCAGGAAGAAACCCACGCCGACCTTCACGAAGGATCAGTACGTGTGGGTGGCGGAGGAGGTCGCCAAGACGTGTGTGCACTCGTACTTCAGAACCGTCACAGGTGGGTGACGTGATGGGATCGGCGCACCTGCACATGGTGGATGTATCGAAGAACCTCCCGCCTCGTCTCGTGTGTGTGTGTCTGCAGGTTTGGCTCCCGAGATCGTGCGGTTCGATGCCAAGGGCATGGTGGATGACCTCGGCGCCATGCACTCCCTCCTGCGACCCGAGACCATCGAGTCTCTGTTTTATCTCAACCGGTTCTCAGCATGGACGCCCCGCCCACGGCCAAAAGTCACACAGCCGGCCGACCAGGCTGGGAGTGACGAGTCGCCCCAGAGGCGAGCGATGTCTGTCGAGCGCGAGAGGGAGCTGAGGGAGGCGATCAAGGGCCTGCGCTACAGGAACTTTGGCTGGCGCATCTACCGTGCTATCGAGACGGTCGCCAAGGTGCCCTACGGCTATGCGTCGGTCGAGAACGTGCAGAGGTGGCCCCCCACCCTGCTCGGCCGCTGCCACACCTTCGTCAGCGCCGAGACCTTCAAGTACCTTTATCTGCTCTACGCCGAGCCGCCCCTTTCGCGACACCGCCCCCGCCACCCGCACAGAGCAGACGACACGACCGTGCCGTTGGATCTTGACTCAATCGTCTTCAACACCGAGGCTCATCCGCTGCCCATCTTGCGCAAGGGCGGCAGGTGTGGGCGAGTGGCGAGGGCGAAACACTCTGAGCGGAAGAGGCGACGGCAGAAAAAGCGACAAGAAGAGATGAGGGCGGTCGACGCGACAGCGAGGAACTGCACTCCTGCCAGTGGGGTGTGTGTAGGCCGTCTCGCCACTGCCATGTCGCTGAGCGAGATACCGTCGGCTGCTGCTGGACCCTCGTCGCATCCCAGGTGTGCTCGCATGACCTTGTCCTCGGTGTTCGCCCCTGTCTGCCAGGCGCATGAGAGGATGTGGCTGTGAGGGCGGGCGGATGGGTGTGTGTGGATACGATACACGTTGAGTCGAGCTGTGCGGGTGGTGTACAGGGTGCATCTTCCTTTCGCTGTCCAAGCCTGTATGTTTCGGTCTGTTTCCGTCCCCGCCTGTCTGTGTTGTGTTGGTTTCCCCGTCGATGTGCAGTGCAGCCAGTCGGTGGTCTGTCTGGTTTGGTTGAGGCAGGCGGTAAGTCTTTGCCGTCTGTGTGCTGTGTGTGTGTTGGTCTCTGGTTTTATCTTTGTCATGTCAGTCAGTCAGTCGTCATCAGTCGCTCTCTCTGTCAGTCAGTCAGTCAGTCGCCTTTATTGGTGGATTGGTCGATGTTATGTTGCATGACCGAGTGTCAGTGGCATACACACAGCACGGACGGACGACGGCATGGCATGCAAATCATGGATGGCATCATTGCATGCAGGGTGTCGCTTCGGACACTACACTGTCGGCGCGCATAAATCTTCACGTGAACGCTGTGACGATCCACAAGGGATGGATGGATGGATGGACGGATGGACACTCCACATGTGGACAAGACATCAAAAGAGGGAATCGGGGCAGACGTGTATGTATGCATCGCCGGCACACTCGCATCGCAAACCATCGTGCTTCTCTCGCAGTCACGCGAATGTCAACACTGCTTCAAGACACAAACGGCACAGACACACACACACACAGACATTCACAGGTGTGGTGTGGTGTCTCAGCGAGAGAGTGTAGTCTGCCAACGCAGCGCGTACGTCGTTTCGGCGTCGAGAAGTGTGGACAGATGTCGGACGGCGTGAGCCCATTGATGAGCTGCCGATCCACCGCTCTCGCGAAAAAGAGCAGCAGCTGAGACATGGCGGATATCACCTGGAAACCATGCGACACAGATCTCTCTCTCTCTCTCTGTGTGTGTGTGTGTGTGTGTGTGTGTACCATGGCCACCATGTTCAACAACAGGACGGTGACAGATGTCCTGAGCACGCCAGGTCCCGATTGGCACCTGCATATAGGCAAATTGTTCCAGCGAATAAAAATCTGTTAGCACATCACACACATCCAGAGGGAGACGGGCACAGCGACACAGCACAGTGGGTGACATTCTGTCTGCCCTCTAGCTTTCTGTCGCAGCTGGCTGCTATGTGTTGTGTGCACTGCACTGACTATGTACAGGATGGCCTCGAGAAACGACTCCACTGCGATGAGGCAGACCAGGAGAGAAAGGTCCTGCGCCGCGCCACCCCAAGCGGCCATACATGTTGATTGCACATCTATATGAGGTATGGCCATCTATCCATTGTGTGTGTACCTCGAGAAGAGACACGATGGACGGGTACACAATCTGCCGTATCGTTATGACCATCAGGTTTGTAAACAGGAATAACACCGTCTCGCAGAAGCTGTAGATCAGGATTGCTGAGAAAAAGGGAGATAACAAACAAAGATATGCAACACAAACAAACGTCACACGCGATGGATGGCACCCCCCTCTCGTGTGTATTCCTCTGGTGTGTGTTTCCAGGTACCTACTCATGCACAAGCTGTGCAAGTATCTCGGGCTGACGACACGTTTGACAAGGGCCGTCTGCAGGTTGAGCGACGCAGACCGGGAGAACGACTTGGAGGACTCCACGATGATCATGAGGCTCGCCAGGGTGGTCCGCTTCCGTACGATGTGATTGGGCGAAGAGGACTCCTCTTCAGCCATCGCCGGCGCGTCTCTTCGTGTCTCCGTCTCGGGCGGCCGGCCACAGACCGAGTGCTGCACGGCTCGCTTGACCGCGAGGTAGAGGAGGATGGAGTATGGGATGCAAATATCGCCGATCAGGTCGATGAGCGCGAGAAACAGTGAGGTGAGGAGGCGGTGGCCGAAGGCGTCCATCCGGGCTTGAACGACTCTTGGGATGGCAAGGTAGATTATGGTGGGCCAGGCCACAATGGCCATTGAGCGCGTCGGGTTCCCTTGCTGCCGTGCAGAGGGAGGCACACGACACCGACAGAAAGCAGGTGTTCACACGTTCACTCACGCAGCTTTCATTGATGTGTCTCCTCTGCCCACCTCACCCACCTTGAGATTCCTTGCAGCTTTGGTTGCCATGGCCATGAAGGGATACATGACAATCAACGACTGAAATGCCACCCAGCCCCTCTCCCTGTCGCTCTGTGCGTGAAAGGCTGCGGGCAGAATGATGAACCACCACAGAAGACTTATGCTAAGCCCCATCAAGCACACGAACGACATCCGAGCAGCGTAAGCACGCCGCTTCTCGAGCTTGGTCAGCTCTCCGACCTGCAGCAAGGACATGTAGGGCGCGAAAAGGGAGCTCGTGAGCCACCACAGCGGGCCCAGCAGGTACTTCCGCCAGGGGTCCAGCTCTGGGTAGCAGCTGAGCACCGATATGCCCACAGCAGCGGCAAGTGCGGGCAGGTAATAGAACCACGTGCGCCATATACGGTACATGACGAGGTGTGGATACGGCCCCTCGATAATGATGGCGAAGTACACTGCGAAAGTCCCAAGGACTATGGCGCGGTTGGCGATGTCGACCACAGCCCACCCAGCCGGCGGAAGCTTCGCGTCGACGCAGAGGTAGACATATCCGATGCAGACCGCGACGCTGACGGCGGCGATCCCGAAAGAGACGGCTGTCTGGACGGCAAGGGCCCTCATGACTCGCCTCACTGTGGAGAGGAAGGGTTCTGGAACGAACTTGGTGCCAATCAACCTCTCCCGACCATCTTCCTGTCTCTCGTACTGGAGGATAGTCTCAAACTCCTCAAAGGCGGCCTGGTCCCAGCCCGCAGCTGCCCTGAACTCCTTCACCAGCAACTTAATCGCCCGCTCCTCCTTCCGCATCCCACGGCCCTCCTCTGTGCAAGAGGGCGAGTTCGACGCAGCGCTGTCGTCTGGCGGCGCGATGGTGTCGTCTCCGGCGCTCTCATAAGAGAAACGGCGCCCTCGGTGGTCCCTTATGGCCTCCCTCATAATCTGCATGTTGTCCGTGAAGGCCGTGCTGCTGTGAGAGAGCGTCGAACCATATCGGCGGGGGGCCTCCGATTTCTCACTTTCGCCGCCCGCTTGGTGTTCTTCTGCGGCTCCGTGTTGGCCAACGTCGTCGAATGAGTCCACACGTTGTGGCGCACTGAGCTCAGAGCGGCTGCCGGTGGGATGGTCACTGCCCACATCGCCTCTGATCTGCGTGATGCGCACCGAGTGGAGCCGGGGGCGGGATGCACGACCGGGAGGCGTGCTGTGGGATGGAATTCCGTTGTTCTCGCTCATTCTCCGAGTCGTTGTTTGAAATTCGTTGGGGGCAGGCTAGGGGTCGGGAGGAAAGGAAAGATCGCGAGACAAAACGTCTCTGGGTGCTCCGACCAGGGTCACCTGACCTAGGGCATATTGCACGTACATCGTTACGTCGTCGTCTGTCTGCGAATGCCTAACCACTGAAGATTACACTGACCCGACCTTACCTGGCTGATTCACACAGAGGTCACACCCAGGTCACACCACCACACAGCACAGCACTGGGCGCGGCGCGGCGCCGCATGACATGACACCGGCTGAGCGCCTCAGCCCGCCCTCACGGGCGGGCCCGCCCACTGAGTTACGCACACGTACACACAGCACACGCATAGCATATCGTACACAGACGACTGACTTGACTGACTTGTCACGAGTGACAGACACACCAGACAGACAGACAGACCCTGACAGACACAGACTCATGAAGCCCCCTCCCTCCCCATACACGGGCAGGCAGGCAGGCAGCCGCCTATCTCGGTGCATGTCTCCCCCCCCTTCCCTCTCCCATGCCCCGCCCGGTGAGTGAGTGAATGAATGAATTCAAAGTATGTAAGGACTGACTGTACTGACGCTGTGCGGTCAGCCTATGCGTGTGGGTCAGGCAGCACCAAGGATGGATGGATGGATGAATGGATGGATGTCAAAACCGACTACCTGCATGCTGCACGCATGCACGACGGAGAGACGACTAGATGTGCCTTCCTTCCTGTCATCTTTCATGTCACGAGTGACTGACCCACAAGCGCGCACGCACAAGCACACGCAGACAACAGCCTGTGCACACACCACACACCACACACATGGATGGCTGGATGGATGGATCGATGGGTAGCCGGCTGGCTGTGCTGCGTCATGTGTGAGTATGTGGCAGGGGCCCGTTTGTTCGTTCGTTCGTCCATCGAGTGCTCCGAGGGCACACACACCAAACAAGCATCCATGCCCCCAGGAATGAACGAAGGAAGCAACAAAGCAGACGCAACAAAAGGTTCATCGAGAAAAACACCGACAGACAAACTGGCACACACGTGAATCCACACACACACACACACACGCACACACACACACACCACATGGAGGTCACGCACGCACCCCGCTGGCCGTGAACGTATGCCCGGGGCAAATCAGCAGGGCGCGCCGTGAGTGAAAAAACACCTCAGCCCCCATGTGATGACTGTCATGTGGGCGAGGTGGGAGCGACGGTCGACGCAATGATTGCGGCACGGCACTGGCAGGCAGGCAGGCAGGCAGGCAGGCGGGCAACCACAACCACCCACACGCATGGAAGTATGCGTGAGCATGTGTGAGCATGTGTGTGTGTATGTATTGTGTATGTTGTGCCTGACTGACGAGTGGCAGACAGACAGACAGAAGGAGAGGACGGCTGCAGGCAAGGAACCAGCCATAAGCAGGTAGGTGTAAGCAGCCACCAGGCCAGGCAGACAAGCATCCATCGATCGGAGAACAAACAAAAAGACCGACAGATAAACAAACGGAGAGCGATGAATGCAATGCGCAGAGCATTGGACGCCCCTTTCGCCCACAACCCACCACCCACCCACCACACCACACCACACCCACACCAATTAGAGCAGAGCACGTGAGGCCTTCTCACAAGAGAGAGAGAAGATGCACGAGTGAGTATCAACAGCAGAACCAAGGCAGCAAGAATGAGTAACAAGAATGTACACCACAGCCCATTCCTGGGTCCACAGCGATAGTCACCCGGCCACCCTTGGCCAAGCAGATGGGCATGAGAGAGAGAGAGAGAGACAGAGAGTGGCGAGGCAGCAGGAAGTGCGTACAGTCGGAGCGAAACCATCCATCCATCCATTCACACGGAGAAAAATGACACTTACATGAAAACACCATCAACCATCCAAGGACATGTCCACCATTGCATGTCCCGGTCAGCATCCCTCGGCTGATCTGACCACCACCACTCACCCTTCCCCCCCGCGTTCCACCCCTAAGAAAACAGCGAGTCTGCGGGATCGGCAAAAAAAAAAACCAACCCGGAGAGTAAAACCCCAGCGGCATGCACACGCACGTGTCTGCGACAAAAGGCGCGAAAACAACGCCATTCGAAACATCGCCCGATGGAAACAACCAAGCAGGCAGGCAGGCAGGTAGGACTGGTAAATGGTCAGCAGCTGGCATCCGCCATTCCGTTCATCGCAGCACATAAACAAACCGAACCGCGAGCGAGCACCTGTGTGTATGATTGATATGATGACATCAAGAAACACCGGACGGACGGACGGACGGACGCATCTAGACAGATTACCTTACCGATCCAACCACCACCCTACACCACCCGACCCTGACAGCCCATCCATCCATCCCCCCATCCCCCCCTCTCCCCTCTCTCCCCTGAGTGTGTGAATGAATCTGACTGAGATGTCTGTATGCCAAGCCTATCGGCCGGGCGGCACATACCCGTTCGTGTGCCCTGGTGGGGGCAGGGGCACCGGTGCATCGCTCGACAGCGGCGCCCCGTTGGTTGGCGGGTGGTCAATGTCATCTTCGCGCCTCCGACCACCCGGCAGCCCCTCGCCCTGCTCCTGAGCGTTGGTGTCGTTGAGCTCTGCGGTCGAGTCCGACCCGCCAAACACAGGTTTCATGTACTTGGCGTCGAAGTCATGCCACCAGCGATGGACGCCGCGCCGCAGTGCGCGGGGGTAGACGGGCATGGCGACCAGCGAGCCCAGCCCCCGCATGATGCGCGGCACCCACTCGCCCTCACCCGTCCCGGCGGCCCGCTGCTGCTGGTCGGCGCCGTCAAGCGGAAGCGGGCCTGTCCCCACAGTTGTGTCGAATGGGGGCGGGTAGCTGGAGCCCGACGGGTAGTCAGATGGGAACTGCCCGCCGCCCGGAGCGGTGTAGGGCACCAGCCGGGGCAGCCCGTGCTCCGCGTCGAGAGCAGGGGGCCGCATTTCTTCGTTTTCGAAGACAGCCTGCTGCGCCAGGGGTGTGCCTATGGAGCGACTCCTGCTGAAGGGCCGGACGGCGTACGCGAGGGCGGGTGGGGGGGTCTGTGAGGGGCGGAGTGTGCCGTTGGTGGGCATGGGGCCGTTGGATGTGCGTGAGCGGATCATGGGTGGGGGTGTGCGGGACCGGGGTGGCGGGGTGGCGTAGTGGGCGTGGGCGACGTCGGACCAGTCGACGATGGCCTCGCGCCGGATGACGTCACGGGGGATCAGGTGGGTCTGCAACCCACTCTGAGTGTGGTGTATACAGAAGGGAAGGAAATAGACACTAGTCGTTGCACATCCTCGTTGCTTCTGTGTGTGTATGTGTGTGTGTGTGTGGTTTGCTTACCGCTGCCCCGATGGAGTCGGTGACGCCCCTCTCTATCGACTTGCACATCTGTTCCTCCCACAGACACGACGCTGAAATGGCTGCAGCCACACACAAAACATACATGCAACCAAAGAAAGACACGTGATGTGTGTCTTGCAGACTGACTGACCGAGGACGCCGCTGAAGACGAGCAGGTTGAGCAGGACGACGCCCAGCACAGTGGATATCAGGATGATGTCCCCCAGTGTCTTGACCTCCGGGTTCTCGGTGGTGCGGTGGACGTAGTTGACAATCAACGCATACGACACGACACCTAACCGATGACAGATGGATGGATGCGGCCACCACACAGACAGACGGTAGACGATCGCATCGAGCCCGTCTCGACTCTCTTCTCTTCTCGTGGCTCACGGACCCACCCACCTCTCATCATGCCTCCGAGGATAACGAGCAGCACCTCTTTGCGCAGGACGGGCAATCGCATGTTGCACCGGAGCATCATGGACAGGCCGAAGAGCAGCGACACCACCACCGCCCGCACCAGGGGAATGAGGCCCGTGTAGGTGAGGATCAGCATGGGCGAGAAGTACTTGGCGCTCGCCAGGTAGGTGCACGACGCCACACCGAAGTAGGAGAACACAAACGCCTCCGCAATGTAGCCCTGCAGGGCACCCAACCAACATAATCCCACATCTTTGTGTGTGTGTGTGTGTGTGTACTGTCATGCGTGAGGCCTCGGTGGCAAGAATCTGCCCTGTGGCGTCGAGAGAATGGTACGCATAATGGCCCGTGACAACGCCACACCTGCACAAACACACGAGAAGTGATGTCACTGAACTGATGCGCTTGTGGGAGGGAGGGAGGGAGGGAGGGAGGGCGACTGACTCACCAGAAGACGGAGAGGATAGCGGAGCATCCGACGCACTCGGCGGTGATGTAGCAGGTGTACATCCATATGAAGATGACGGCCACTGCCTGCACCGGCGTCTCGTTGATCAGCTCACGCGTCTTACGGAAACACCACGACAGCGCCAAACCGAACCCAAGCCTTCATGACAATGACAACACACACACAGACAGACAGAGTACCGACCGACACAATGACAATGAATGCCTGCAGCCCGTCCGTGTGTGTGTGTGTGTGTGGGTGGGTGTGTGGGTGGGCCCACCGCTCACCCGACGGCAGTGGATGTGAAGAGCAGGAAGAAGACCCTCAGCATGAGCGGCTTGAGGACCTCCCCTGTGTCGGGGTCGGCCGTCTCGTTGCCAGTGCTGTTGCGTTTGAGGTCCTCCATCACACTCGCCAGCGACTGGCTCATGATGATCGACACCACATCGTTCAGGATGCTCTCGCCTGCAACCCAACCATCGCACATGGCATGGCACACAGCACAGGGGTCAAGTCAATGCCTGTCTGCTTCGGCTGGGAGCAGCTGATGTGTGTCCGTCCCGGTTACCGAATATGATGGAGTGGACGCGCGGAAACTGATCGCCCCGGACAAAGGAAAGCGACGCTGCGAGACGAGACGACAGCAAGCGCTTTGTCTTTACGTGAATTCGATGGCCACACTCGTCCTTGCGGCCTGCTGTGCTTACCGACGGTGTCGGTGCAGCAGAGTGTGGCACCGATGATCAGGAACTTCTCCAAGGACAACTCAGCTAACAGCCAACACACACACACACACACACACACATGCTGTGTGTGCTCTGCCTGCGCCGGTCGTGTGTTCTGACTTACCGATGACGGTGCCGTCGAACGTTCGGTATTGTGCGATGGAGTGGAAGACGTACGGCATGTAGATGAGGGCCAAGAAGGTGAGAATCGTGCCCACAACGCCCAGCAGAGAGATGTACCCGAAGTACCTGAACGGTTGAAGAAATCAACACACAAGCACACACAATCCTTCTGTCTTGAAGCCTCACTGATTGCAACATTCCATTCAGCTCCCTCCCTCACCTGTAGAACATCTTCTTCTTGCAGTTGAATCCCGCGCCAAAAATGATGGGCGGCAAAATGACGTAACTGACCAAACACCAGACCACACCAGACCCCTGTGCTGTGTTGTGCTGCGTAGGGGCTCCCTCACCCAATCGGCCGGCCGGGCGGCTCACCTGAAGATGTTGAAGCTGAAGGAGATGCCTGGTGGTCGGTCTGAGAGGTATGAGACGACGAAGCCCAGGACGATGCCGAATATGACGGACAGGGCCGACTCGTGGGTGACCTTGACGGGCATCTTCTCTATCACGTAGCCGCCAACCACATACAACAGCAGCAGCAGACACACTGACACACCGACCAATCAGCGAGCCCACATAAGCAACACACACACACACACAGGACGATCAGTGTGCCTCGTTTGTGTGTCTTGTGTGTGTGTGTGCAGCAGCTTACGGCAGAGATCCCAGATGCCGAATATTTCATCCTGGGCCAGAGTCCCCAGCAGGACGCCGCCAGACATCGTGAGTGACTCAATGCGTTCGCGCGTTAGGTGCACTCACTGCACGGCCCAGCAGCCAATTCAGCTAGAGAGCATACCACACGGCACAAGCACCAGGGCCAGCTGAGCGTCTGAATCCACCCAGGCACAGCCGCTGTCTGAGGCAGTCGCTGGAACAGAAGATATTCTTCTGCTCTATCTTGACAGAGCAGAAACAAAGGCAGGGGACGCTCTTCACCTACACGGCAATGTCCTCTTGTGTGCCCGAGGCGCTCTTTTTGCCGAGGAGAGCTGCGGATCGCTGATGCACATCTGCGAGCTAAGGAGGAAGAGAAAACGAAACGCGCCACGGAGGTACGGAGCAGTGTGCAGTGACAAGGCTGATGCAATTGAATCAGATCAGCCAGGTTGCGTCTCATCTGCAGTCTCGTTCATCTCATTCATCGCCCCAAGCCCCCACCCGAAACAGCGAATTCATCAAGTAATCAACCGACCATGTCGGATGACGCCGTGATGCCTCCCGAAGGCATCTCCGAGGACCTGGCAAGAAAGGCCGCCCAGCTGGCCTCCGTGCAGCCACCTGGATCCGACGATGTCGACGACTTCCTGGAGCGTGTGGAGGACATCACGGCCACAATCACCTCGCTGGTGGAGGGCAAGGTCAAGCCCGAGGAGGTTGACGATGATATAGCTCGTGAGGAGAGGCGGCAGCGGGCGAAATTGAGGGCCATGGAGGAGGCTGCGAGGGCCGCCAGGGAGGCGGACGAGAAGAGGCGGCTGTATGGGCGGGAGGGCAAGGGGGAGGGGGACAAGTATCAGTGGTTCTGCAAGCGCTGCTTTGTCGAGTATGAGGAGGACAGCCTCGATGGCCACGAGCAATGCAGGCGATGCGGCAGGCAGGTACATATATCACATTTCGGCCCACCTACTCACCTAACCCGGATGGATATTCAGCTGCAAATCGCTGTGTGTGTGTGTGTGTCTGTCTGTCTGTCTGTCTGTCTGTGTTGTGTGTAAGCAGCTGATGAGTCGTGCTGCCCGTCATGCAGAGCTTCACGCCAAGGTGGAGCAGCTCAAGGAGGACAAAGCACAACACCTCTCACGCAAAGACAGGTAGGTGCATCAGTTTCAAGGCCGCGACGGACCCCTCTCTCACCACAAGCCTTCTGTTCTATTATCTGCAGGTGGCTGCGGTGGAAGAAGTCTCAGGAGCTGCTTGGCCGAGGCAAGAGCATCAACTACACCAAGTGGGACTACTGGGAGCCGGAGAGCGATGAGGATGACCAAGACACCGGCCCACCAATCGTGCCCGAAGACGACCCCAACTTCAAGGCACTGGAGAAGGAAATGACAGCCAGCGCCACAAAGTGAGACAACGACGCTAGCTGGTGTAGCTGGGCTGGTGTGTCGGATGCACACGAACGGGTGAATGTAATGTGTGTGCGTCAGGCGGTCAGATCGGTGGAAAACGGCTGAGCAGTGTCGGTTGCGCGGCAACGAGTCGTTGCGCGAGAAGGACTACGTCAGGGCGGTGGAGCACTACCAGGAGGGCCTCGACTACCGCAAGGACATGCTGCCCCTCTGGACCAACAAGGCACTCGCGGAACTCAAGCTCTTCAGATGGACCGACGCACAACGCTCCTGCACACAGGTCGGTGTCAACACACCAGACACAGAGAGGTAGGGAGATGGACAGACAGACCAGACCCTCTGTGTGCGTGTGTGTGCAGGTCTTGGATTATGTTGAGGTGTTTGAGGAGAGCTACGCGAGTCGGCCTGACGTGTGCTTCAAGGCTCTCACAAGGCGAGCTCTCGCTCTGAGGGGCCAGAAGCAGTATGAGGCCGCCCAGCACGACCTGGAGGCCGCACACAAGCTCTTCCCCAAAGACAAGGAGGCCATCAAGCTACTCGAAGACACCAAGGTGACGACTCAATAATGCCAAAGTCAGTTCTCTGTGCTCATTCTCCTTTCTGTGTTCATTAATTGTGGTCTGTCTGCAGATAGCCGTTCAGGAGGTCCAGCAGCTGCGGCAGTCAACCAAGGACCACCACGAGCAGCAGCAGGCCGACAGCCCCGCATCACGCACCACTGAAGCCGAGTCACCGACCAGCGACAGGCTGGAAGGCGATTTGGCTGTGGTGGAGAGCAGCCAAGTCCGACCCCACGAGTGCAAGGCATCAGCCAGCGACCTGCAAAGGGCATCAGGGCTGCTCGCTGTGTCGACCAAGAGCCTGGCTGAGCTGTCGTCGCGTGCCTGTGCGGAGCTGAAGGGCCTCCTGGAAGGATCTGCAGATGTGCGGAGGTGGTTCTGCATGGCACCGAATCGACCCAAGGCCGGCATCACCATCGCTATCGAGGTGGGTGGGGGTGGGGGAGAGATAAATAAAGGGATTGGCACGCAACTGGACCATGGATGCACGTGTGGCTGGCTTGTCATTGTGGTGCTTTCTGCTCGAAGGATGTGAGGGCGTGTGCGCAGAAGATCCGACTGGATCCATCTCTCGGCAAGACACTGGCTGCGGCGCCGAAAGACCCGCTCGTGAAGGGCTCTCAGCGGGCCACTGAACTGTTGGACATCGTCGTGACGGACAATGCATGGGCATGCAATCTTGCTCTCGAGGCCGCCAGACCTCTGCTCACTCTCGTGGCCGAAGGCATCGCAAGAAACAGGGCTCTCATGGTCAGTGCCGGTGAAAGAATGGGATGAGCGAAGCTGACTTCATCGTGTCGTCACCTCTGCCGTCTGTTTGTGTGGTGTCCTGTCCACCCAGGTGCTGGAAGAGATGTCTCACTTCGACCTGCCGCGCAAGTCGTTGGCCGATGCCCTCCTGCGCGACGATCACCGCGTGTCGATGCTGGTGCAGCTGATAGCGTCCTTCCAGTCGCCAGTGGACGAGGAGCAGGACGACCTCGTGAAGATCCTCCTGGCCGCAGCCCACGAGGTGGGGCTGCCCGACATCCCGGTGCCCCGCCTCATATCAGATGGACGCACCGGTCAGTCAGCAATCAAGGACAGACCGAGGAGAGTCGGGAAGATGGGATGGCAAGTGTTTCCGTTGTCAGATGCTGAGGTGGCGTGTGCGCTTCTCGGCAACCTGGCGCTTGAGCCGACGGTGAGGCGGCGGCTTCGCGAGTGTGCCGTGGACATCGTGTCGGCCGCTCTGAAGTACATCCGACCCAACGACCCCGTTGCCTGTGAGCGGGGCGCCACACTCATCCTCAATGCAGCACAGGTAGGTACCCACACACTGCAGCACACACAGGCAGGAGCTGCGATGCATCCGGTGTGGGTCGTGATATATCCTCAGGATGAGTTGATCAGCGAGGAGATTGCCCGCCACAGCTTCGCCCCCATCCTCGTGACGCTCAAGAATGAGAAGAATGAGTCTGCCGGCGAGATCCGCTACCTCCCCCGCATCCAGAAGCTGCTGGGCATCCTCGTCAACGGCACCACACGGTCGCCAGCAGCCAGACATGAGCTCGTCACCATGCGGGAGGCGATGGACGTCCTGCTGATCTATGCCAAGTCGACTGACGAGGTGGTGTGTCAGCGGGCCATGGCGCTGCTGTTCCGAATGGTGACGGATGGGGTCACTGTGGGTGAGGGGGCCGTGGCTGCACTCGTGATGGCCATCGACGGGGCGCTGGAGCTCCACACAGGGAGGGAGGAAGTGCCTGAGGTAGGAGGGAGGCAAGAAGGGATGGGTGCCTGTCAGCCATTGAATGACATGACACGATTTCATCTGTGAATGAAGGGATTCGGTTTGTGTTCAGGTGGTGGGTGCGTCTGTGCGCCTATTCTGCGCCTTGGTGACCAAGAAAGGCGTCCGCTCAACGGTCGCCGAGTTTCAGAGGTCACCCGCCATGCCGCGCCTCCCCCGCGTCTTGTTGCGCATCTTCCAGTGCTTCAAGAAGCTCACGCCCACCCGGGACGTGCCGTCCGAGGAGGCCTCATCGCCACCATCGCAGCTGAGGGGCAACATCTGCCTCCTCATATCGAGGCTCGCGCAAGCACAAGAGGAGGCCTTGGGTGTGCTCAAGAGTGGGGACGCACTGGCCGAGAGAAATGGGTGAGCTGCTACCGCACAGCGAGGAGTCGGAGCACCTGGCTGACATGTCTGTCACGGGGTGTGTGTGTGTGTGTGTGCAGGCCAACAGATGTGTTGCGGTCGCTCGATTTGCGCCCGTTGGTGTCGCCGGTGATTGAGTGTCTGCGTCGTGAGCCGCCCAAGAGCGGCCCGCAGCAGAACGCTGCTGTGGCGCTGACACGCTTGGCGCGTGTGGAGTGCTACCGCGACACTGTAAGAGCGCTGCATGGGTTTGAGGCTTTGCACCAGATAGCTGCCAAGGCGCTGAACTGACTGAAACAAACATGATGGGTCGGGAGGGATGGGGTATGTTCACCGCTGCTGGCTGCGTGCTCATGCGTTGTACATGTCTGTCGTGTAGACCCTAGACTCAGGGGGGGAATTCATTGCTGGATGGATGGGAGAGTAAGGTCAAGTGAAGTTGGATGATTTGCTGCATCGCCGCTGACAGCGAGGGCCCGCCAGCTGCGATGGACCAGTCGCCTTAGAGATGCCAGGCGTCGGTCGGTCATCGACAGTTACGAGCCAGATAAGTGGGCAGGGTTGGGAACGGAGGACAATGGGGCTTTCCTGTCGGTGTCGACGGAGGGTTTTCAGTTCACACTCGGTGAGCTGGAAGTGTACAATCTCGGATTGTGTTGCATTGCACGTGCGGGGACATAGCGGGGGTGTGTCAGTATGACTGACATGCTATGTGCAGAGTGAGTGAATGGCATGAAACTATGTCAGCCGACCTGACTGACATATTTTGATGCGCGAAATATCGATTTGTGCAACGTCAGGCGTATACAAGCGTTCTCTTGGCACACAAACGTGTTTGCAAATTCAATACGAGATGGTCCTCCATCGCTCTCGCACTCACATACACGCCTTTTGTTCACTCCTCCCCCACGACGCCTTTCCCCCAACTCTCTAGAGAACTGAATCCCTCAAACACAATACACACCAACTAAGCTAGCTTTCTTTCGGCCCATTCATTCGTCTTGTCATTTCGTCCGCATCTCAGCCTTGTGCTCAAAGTACTCCCATATCTAAGATAGCAGGCAGCCAGGCAGTGAATCGACAGACAGGTGTTTCTTCTTCATTCCTGCTCACCTCGTCGGCTGCGATGCCGCAGTCGCCAATGAGATACTGCACCACTTGCCGCTTCATCAGTGGCCCCACGGGCAGCTCGACACCGGCATGCTGGGCGAACTCCTTGAGCCGCTTGAGAGAGAACAACGCCTCTATCTGCTCCACGTCCCTCGCCACGCTGTTTGCATCACGCCCCTGTGCCGCATCGTCACTCCCAGATGGTGCCACTGTCCTATTTCGCCGCTGCAGCAGGGTGAGCGCCCGCAGGGTGGGGTTGTCAGCGATGGCCGCGGCTTGACGCGACCGATATCTCTCCTCGGCCGCCTGCAGGCGCCGCCACCGCAGCCTCGCATCCGCGAAGGCATCCATCTCATCCTCTTGCTCCTCCTGCTGCTCCTGCTCGCCTGGCCGACCCACAAACGCGTCGACGTCGTTGATGCTGCGGTCGCTGAGCCACTCCTCCACTGTCTGCTCGTCTTGTGCGGCCGCCTGGAGTTCGTCGAGCTTGTCCATCATGGTGGCCAGGTACTCTTCAGCCTCCTCCTGCCTCTTGCTGGGCTTCCGCGGCCGGCGGGGAAATGCGGCGAACAGCTCCTCGGGCGCCCTTGACAGCTCCTCGTCCAGATCAGCAATGAACTCCTATACAGTACGTGTGTGCAGCACATGGGAAGCCATCACATCTCATGCCCAAAACAAATGTGTCCTGTGCGGGTCGGGTGTGCATGCCATGCGCACCTCCATGACTTTCTTCTTCTTGGGCTGCGGCTCCAGCGCCTGCCAGTCCTCCACAGGCCCTGGGCCGTCCGACTCCGCACTGAGTAGAGCAGATGAGTGTGGGTCCGGGAGAGACCGCAAAGCGAAGATCTGACGCATCCGGACGGCTGCAGGGATAGGCATGAAGCACATGGCACGCTGACATCTCGATAGAGACCACAGCAACCCACACACGACGGCTCTTCGGCGATGGCGCCCAGCAGAGGGCGGAGCAAAAGGATAACACGGATGCCGCTGGCCTTCCATTGATGCCACAGAGCGCGTGGAGAGCTTCAGAGAGAAGGACTTTTCCACTCGCACGGCGGCTCGCATTGCAAGCTCACATTCATATCCCCTTTCGGATCTGGTTTGGGAAAGCCCTTCCTTTGTGTTCAATCTGGCTACCGAAGCGGCAGGTTCGACCTCGGTTCTGCTCAACTGTCGCATCTGCCCCCCCGAGGAATCGATGAGCGGACCGAGCGCCCTCTCGACGCTCTTCTGTGGCTGCTGTGCCACGGGCGCCACTGACACGGCGGGCCAGGTCAACGTCGGACCTCACACCTCAAATCAAGTGCTCGGACTCCAGGGTGAGCGAGCAACGGCTGAGAGGGTCGCGGGCGGACAGGACAGGCGGGGAAGAGAGGCAGACAGGCACACAGATCAGACAGCCAGAGCTGCCTGGTATCTGGAATCGCTGTTTGTGTTTGTTGTGGTTTCTGTGTCTGTCTGTCTTGTGCCAAGCAGATATCCCGGAGCTGAAGCCGACCACCGATGCCCAGCAAGGACCCGAAAGCGGTGAGGGGGGACGACAGAGAGCAAACTGCTGACGCAAGCAAGCATTCATCACGTGTGTGTCGGCTCGGCAGCTGTGCCCAAGTCGGACAGCCCGCCCCCCTGGGAGTCCCACAAGGTTGCGGAGGGGGAGGCGGCCGGCGGCGTCAGCCCCGCACCAGGCAGGGCCGAGTCAAGGGTCGCGAAGATGACCGCAGAGGAAAAGGTAGCTGCAGAAGGGAAGGCTTCAGGACGACCGCGCAGTGACAACAAAATGGCATTTGTCGTGTTGTGTGTGGTGGGGGTCGTCAGGAGAAGGAGAAGGCTCGTCTGCAGAAGCTCGTCAAGGAGTTTGCAAAGGTGAGGATGGGCTGAAACGAACGATGGCACATGGTCAGGGATGACACGGACGGGGGTGTCTGTGGTGTGGCGTGTGGGTGTTCAGGACGCGGTCAAGGGCATTGACCTGCAGTGCGTCAACTATGAGACGGGTATGCCAACACAGAGGGGCGGGGAGGGAAGGATGGCACCGTTGCTGACGGTCGGGGCATCATGTGTGTGTGTGTGTGTGTGTGTGTGTGTCCAGGGGAGATGATCAAGGTCAAGTTCTCCATGGATGGCTACCTCACGGTAGGCATGAGCACCACAGCCATTCGATCGCCTCTGCCCTCACCCATGTGTATGTGGGTTGACATATCTGCAGAGTTTCACGGTGACTCCCGTCGACAAGACCGACCCCATCGCACTGCCGCCATCACTCGCCAAAGTCGACATGAAATTCGTAAGTCTCAACCCACCACCGCCCACGGCCCACATGCACACAGCTTATCGTCTGCGTGATTTCCTGCACTCAGATCTCGGCCGTTTTCAAGGGCGGGGAGATCCTTCGCAAGGTCAGTCAGCCCACTCGCTCACAACGGACAGCAGAGCAGTAAGGTCAGTCTCCTGTCTTCTGCCTTTGCACAGTGTCCGGATTTTTATGCGCGTGATGACGTCAATGACATCGTTGGCATGGAGGTCGACCCCGAGAAGAAGCAGCTTTTCTTCCACTTCGAGGAGTCCTACCTCAGGGACAAATTCTACACATGCCTCAAAATACTCAGGTATACCAGTCTGGGACACGAGCGGAGAGAAGACATTCACGAGGCATACGCGTGTGGCGCTGGCTCTACTTGCACGTGTGTGTGTGTTTTTGTGTGTGTGTTGTGAGCAGGCTGTCTGTTGAAGTCAGCAAGACCAAGGGCGGCGAGTGAATGCTGGCCTGACAAGATACTACTCGTTTTATTGGCGGCGGGGAGGGGCGGGGGCGATCGAGTGGGCACCTGTGTGCACCTGTGTATTGTGGTGGGTGTGAGAGACAGCGAGCTCTTTTATAACGCGAATGGTCCCGGCCAGCCAGCCATGCATGCCACCCACCCCCCACCCCCCCACCCACATCGCAGCATGCTCGTAACCCCTCTGCTGATCAAGCAGGCCAAGTCTTTTTTCCATGCCCCTCTCAGAGCTTTTCTATCTATCTAGCCGTTCTTCGCTGCTTCCTTCCGTCATGTTATTTGCTTCTATGCGTGATGTTTCCATCCATCTAATCTCACTCACTTTCTTAGCTGAACAGACAGACCCTGCACGCGTCTATGGCCTGCTGCTGCGTGTGTATGCGATGGGTGTGTATGCGTCTCGTGTCGTGTACGTGTGTGTGTGTGTGTACTCGTGTGAAGGTATGTATGTGTATGTGTGTGTGTGTGTGTGTGTATGTCTTTTTACGACTGCCTACCTTGTTACGTACGTACGTCAGTATGTATGCGTGTGGATGCATGCGATGCGTGGCCGCCTCTCTCTCGCACCTAATCTCATCTCATCTCATCTCATCATATCATATCTTGCCTCATCTCAGCTCATCTCCCTGAGTCTCTCTCCCCATCTCTCTATCTCCTTCCTTCTTGCCATTTGAGTCACTCACGTCAGTCAGTCAGTCAGTCACTCCCTGCCTCCCTGACTAACTCTCCATCTGCCCTGTTTTGGTGCCTGGGTACATGCATGGGTGGGTGGGTGGGCTGAATCAATGAATGTCCTCTGGCTGGCACACACCGGCTGACCTGGTCAGCCAGCCGGTCGGCGAGCCTTTTGTCAATCTAGTCGATCCACTCCCCAAGACCCGACTGCGAGTGACTTCCTCTACGTGTCTCCATCAATCGGTGTCTGGGTGCTTTTTGTCTCGGCTTTATCGAGCATGTGGCTGGCTGGCTGGCCGGCTGGCGGCCGGGGGATTTGTAACACAACACAACACAAGTCAGGTGTATGAGGGAGGGAGGGAGGGAGGAATGGTTTGATTGATGCATGGCGGCACAACATAACCCAAGCCACACATGAGGCATGGCATCCATGGTCGAGTGCAGTGCGTCCGTCCCTTTTATCCCTAGCTGCCATCCATCTGCATGTGCCTCCGACTCATGTGGTGCATGCAGGGCATACACGATATGGATGGACATGATGTTATTGATGATCGATGACCCGTCTGGTGATAATACGTACGTGAAATGCAAAAAACAGCAGGAACGCCGCAGCGCCTCCGCTTCTCGCCGGACTGGCCACCTGCACCATCAGCATCAGCATCAGCACCTGCAGCTGCCAAAGCCATCTTCTCACACGCAACAACAAGAGATTCACTCATTCCCTTGATTGACAAACAAGTGCGGTCATCATGTCTCACTCAAAGGTCCGCTAACCTACCCACTCACAGATGCACACACACACACACACAGGCACATCCATCCATCCATCCACAACTGGACCATGCCCCTCACCCCCTCCCTGTCGGTCGACACGCTCAGCCGACATTCGCCGGTCTCCGCGTCATCTGGATGACCATGCCGGCCCTGACGCCCTTCTCCCCCACCGTCACGCCAGGCTGTGTCTTGTGCGGCAGCTCATGGCCCGTCATCAGGAACCGCAGCAGGTCCGTCGAGGGCGCCACGCCGCCCTCACTCTCACCCAGCTTGTTTGCGAAAGCTTGCGCGAAGTCGCCCAGTGTGGTGTCGACCGTCAGCTGGATCTCCATGGTGGATCCCGAGCCCACCATCTGGACCTTGACGGTGAAGGAGCCGTCCTCGTGCTGCGAATGGTCGGTGTCGTCTTGTGTGGTGGGGTGGGCGGCGATGTAGCCCTCGGGGTCGGCCAGGAAGGCGTGGATCTTCTCCTTGAGATCAGGCACTGACAAACAGACAGACAGACAGACAGACAGGAACGGACACGTGTGTGGTTGCGGGGTGTGTCTGTGTCTGTGTCTGTCCGTGTGTGTGTGTGTGTGTGTGTTGTGCTGACCTTCCTCTACGTCGTTCTTGGCATCGAACAGCATGCTGCCGCCCTTCTTGTAGGGGTCCTCGGCCTTCCCGTCAGGCCGCGTGATCTTGTCCAGTGTCGTGCTGACACACAAGCCCAAGCCCAAGCATGTGTGTGACATACATGTCATGACACACGAGTGTGTCTGTCTGTGTGGGGTGGTCTGTGTGCCTTACTAGTCGACGACGGTGCCGGTCGGCAGCCGTCGAGGCTCCTTCATGATCTCACCCGTCAGCGAATCGATGAACTGATTGATGATACACACAGGCCAGCAGCAACCACAATCATGAGGCAGGCCTCTTGGGTGTCTGTCACGCTGTGACAATGTCGTGTACTGACCTCTGGCGGGGCCATCTCGGTGAGCCGCATTTCCTCACTGGCGCGCTCCTTGGTCTCGCGCAAGGTCGCGCCAATCCTCGCTACCTGCATAATGGTCGAATAAACAGCGATGTCATGACACAGGGGAGGGAGGAGTGGGCGCGGTCGGCCTCGCTGGCTGACCATGCTGGCGAATTTGTTCCATGTTGCCCGATCTAGCAACGACTCACGGTACAGGATGTTTCCTACACGCAAGGAGGGGAAGGGGAGAATGGGTGGACAGTGAGAGTGGAATGAAAGAGCACTGATTGCGTCGCCCCCAGCTGTTCTGTTCTGTGCGGCGTACTTGCTTTGTGGAAGGTGTCAATGCGGAAGTTGCGATCGTCCATCTGCACCTGCACACACCACACACCACACCATCTGCCTTGCCGCATCTCCCTCCTCTTTATCTCACCCTCTCGAGGAACTTGTCGGCCGACATGGGCGTCTTGTGCGTCGATGTGGCGGCCGCACCGGCGTCGAACTGGCCGTGACTGAAGAGGTCCGCATACATCTGCCCAACCCAGCCGAGCATCTCACGAATGTTGAGGCCATAGCGCTCGGGGTGCGAACACTGTGCTCACACACACACACACACACAGACAGGTACGGTATCCGATGTGCGCATGTGGGGCACTGCGTGTTGACCTTGAGGTTGAGAGCCTGCGGCCCGACGAGTCGTGTGATGATCATGTTGAGCACCCGCACCACCTCGTCGAAGAGGGCCACGCTCTCCGTCATGAGCACCGACACGTGGCGGCCGTATTGACGCACCACGAAGTGCAACGTCTCTAACAACTTGACGCCCGTCTGGTGTGCACACACCACACCACACGAGACACACTATGGCATATGCCGCCCCCGTGTGTGCGTGTGTGTGTGTGTGTGGATGTGTTGCGAACCGGCAGCTGGTAGAGTCCGTTTCGATGCTCTGGCGAGAGTTGCTGTATGGCTTGCTGCGGATTGACGCCGCCGTCCTGCAGCCTGCAGAACACGCAACCCAACACCACACACACACACACACACACAGACACACATATAAGATTTCGCCCCCCGTCGGTGCTCATTCTGTCTGCCCCGTTGTCATGCCACTGACCTCTTCAACTCGGCTATGGCGTCCAGGCCCTCCTCGACGTAGCTGATGGCGTCCTGGCATATGCTGCGGACGAACGCCGCCATCTTCATCGGCATCGCGTCAAACGACCTGGTCACCACGTCGCGGAAGATCTTGATCTCCTTGACAATCTGCCAAACCACACACACACAGAGCAACAGAATGCAGCCACTCACTCTGTCGGCCGCTTCCTCCCTCCGTCCCGTGCTCACCCGAACGAACAGCCGAGCGCCATCCGATTTGGCCTCGACGTTGCCCACCTACACGAATGCATATCGACACGTCATTCATCGGCCAATCTCACGCACACAAGCTGTCCCCCCTCTCTGACAACACGAAGTACAAGAGTTGCTGACCCACACATTTTCCCAAATGATGCCCTCCCGCTGCTGGAAGGTGAAGTAGGTGATGATGGCCGGGATGAGGTGCGCGTTGGCCAGCACGCTGTCGCCCAGCTGGCGCGTCCAGTGTGGGTCACTCGAGAACAGCATCGACTCCAGAAGCCCCTATATATGTCGAAACCAAAATGGCAGGTGGGGTGCCATGGGGTGGATGTGCCCTTTTGTGGCTTACGAATGCCTTCTTGAGGACATCCACCCGTCTGAAGTAGCTGGGGGCGCCGACGATCAGCAGCACGAACGCGATGACGAGCTGCGGGTCCAGCACGCTGCGGTCGGCCGCCGTGTGAGAGTGGAAGACGAAGTCCACGCCCACGAGTGTGTCCATCACCAGCCACTCTGGCAAGAGCATCAGCTCCACCGGCCCGCGGCTCTCCTCACCGTTGTCCAGACACTCCACGGCGACGACCCCCTCCGACAGCTTGTCTTCGTCGAGAGTCGCCAGGTCAGCCTGCTCCTCGTCCATCAGCCACTTCAGCAAGCTGTCGTACTTGGGAGGGCAGGGGGGGATGGGCGTGTCGGGCGAGCGGAGCAGCCTGAAGGGGTCCGGTGGGGAGCTGGGATGGGGCCGTGGTGACGTGGGTGACAGTGTGGGCGACGTTGGTGCCTCGCTGCTGCTGCCCTCGGTGGTCTGTTGGTGGATGTAGTAGTGCAGCGATGGGACGAAGTGCGCTCGGTAGGCCTGCTGCACGATGAACGCCTGCAACGGGGAAGAAGCGGAAGACATCAGTCCCATCGATGGACACCTGCCTGTGCATTGGATTGGCCGGCCTACCATGGCCACATTGAGCCATCTGGCCGTCTCGCTGAGGAACACCGTGTCCCGCAGCACCGCACTGTAGGCCAGATTCAGCGACTTGAGGGGCTCCACACACGACCGCTCCACGTCCACCCGCTCTCCAGCCGTGGCCGAGGCATGTCTCCCCCGGCCGCCCGCCACAGACTGCAGCAGGCTGCTCACTGACGCAATGTGGCCCTGCTGCCGCATGGCGGGGATGAAGGCCAGCGAGAAGGTCTTTGCCGTGAGCCAGAAGAGCTCCGTGATGGGGGCGGGCGGGGGCGCGTCGGCGTGGGTGCGGCGGAGGCGCTCGTCTGTGAGGGTGAGAAGGGTCTGTGCTGCCTGTGTGGAGATGCGGTCGAGCCGGAGACGGGTGACGCGCTCGTTGCCGGTGGGGTGCTGTCGGACAGGCAGAGGGAAAAGGCACACTCCACTTCACTTTATCGGGCCTCATGCACTCGAGGGACATCTCACCCTGATCGTGTCGGACAGACGCTTCACATCACCGCTCGCATACCACCTGAGAGACCAATCCAGCCAGCCATCCATCCATCAGTGTCGTTTGTGTGTGTGTGTGTGTGTGATCTCTGTCTGCTAAAGCAACGACCTACCCGAGTCGGTTGTTGTGGATGATTGTGTAGAGTGGGTCGACCTTGGACACCAGCCCAGCGACCCCCGTCTGCCCCCTGTTGACCTCGTCCTGCACCAGCCGCATGAAACTCCACTGCACGTTCAGCAGGCAGCCGGTGGTCGCAGGCATGGTCACCGCCAACACGTCACGAGGCACCGGCGTGGACTCGCCTGCACACACACACACACACACACACACGTGTGGATGTCCCGCTCTCCATCTGTTTGGGTGTCAATGGCTCACGTCTCCATCTGTCCGACACAGCGAATTCTGAGGCATATTGAGATGCGGCAAGTATGCCCTGCAGCCAGTCGAGGAGCATGGCCTGAGGCGACCCGAACTGGGGGGAGGGTGATGCCGGCGCCGACGAGTGCCACATGGGTCTCAGGAAGGTGGAGTGGTTGAGGTCCGCCATCTCGGCCAGACGGTTGGACACGAACTGCATGTCGTCGCTGCAGCAACAGTAGGCAATCGTTGAGAACCGCACTCATTTGTGTGTGTGTAAAAACCGACCGGAGCCTGGGGCTGTGTGGGTCGAGATACCGCCGTGCAGCCATGCTTTGGTCGTGCACTGCGGCAATCAGACTGACGACTCACCTCAAACAGCAGCACACAAGTGAGTGAGTGAGCGATGGAATGAATGCACCAGTGGCCAGACATAGTACATACAAGCGGCTTACGGTCTCAGTGTCGGCACCCGTGCCATGAGCCACTCCTCTCGGTGCTCTGCCCCAATGCGGCCAATGTCGTGCAGAATCGCAGACAGGAACTCGTCGAGTCGGTGGGCCACCTGGGGGATGGCGTCGATCGTGCTGGTGGCGAACAAGGCGCCTGACACACAAGCAAGCGGGCGACAGACAGGGCTGTTGTTGTTCTGTGCGCACCGAATGTGACGATAGATGTCTTCCTTCCTGTCTCGCCACATCACACATACCAAGTATGCTCCCATATTGGTAGTCGCGCACAGGGCGGCCCTGACGAGGTACTGTCTTGATGTCGGATATGAAGGAGCTCGCCGCGTGCGGCCCCGCAATCCGAAACACACGCTGCACACAGAGAGAGAATGACACATAACAGGCCCGGCCCGCCCGGGGTGTGGGTCCCTGGCGTACCTGGAACTGGTGGTAATTGCCGCACTCCCCGGGGAGGCCCCACACGGGATCGCTCGTCGGCCCCAGCTCCAGACGCTGCTTCGACTGGTCACTCTAAAGACACACAGAGAGATCAACAGCAGCGCCATTTCCCCCACCGCCCGCAATACCTCGTCATCACACTCACCGTGTATGTCACGAACTTCTCCGAGAGTGTCTGAAGGATGACGGCCAGCACCCAGCTGCGGTTGATGGCTATGTCGTCGGGGGATGACCCGGTGAGCATCGTGGGCGGCTCTCCGGCAGGCAGCCGGCTGATGAGTGCACTGAACGTCACCGTGTCGATCTCGCCCGACCGCAGGCAATCGAGCAGGACGTCCGACGCCTGCACACAGACAGACAGACACCACACAGATAAGGCCACACGTACTGCGGAGTGGATGAGGTGGTGGCGTTGATACCTCTTGTATGGAGGCCGCTCGTGTGATGACCTCCGCGGCCGTGCCGAGCAGCAGCTCCTTCCACTCGCGCAGCTTGACCTTCAGACGCGCAGACACACCCCGCACCCTGCACAAGTAACAGCAGTTGGGTGCATTGCATGCTGCGCGGAGCGCTGCGTGAGTGAGTGGCGTGTTTACTGGTTCAGCTCTCGCTCCACGGCCCGCAGGATCTTCACCCACGACAACAACTGATTCGTCAGACTCTACACGGCACGGCAAGAAGGAAAGGGGCACCACACACACAGAGGGCCTTCCACGCCACGTGGTGTCGAGATGACCATGCGTCAGTCACAGAAGTACCTTAGAACTGAGATGCGTCTTCATCTCATCGATGGCCCCCTGGTCCAGCTTCCGCATCTCACCGCCAGATGTCGCCGCGATCCCCAGCGTGCGGTACATGACCTTCTGCACCATAGCGTCCTCCTCCCTCGCACGATCGGCCTCATCCGTCGACGCCGTCGAGCTCGACCGCAACTCCCGCGACGGCTGCTGCTGCTGCTGCTGCTGGCTGGTGTCTTGTTCACGCTTGGTGTCGGCTCGGTCCTGCTCGAGTGCCGCCAAGCGGCGGTCTCGCACCTCCTCGTGCGACGGCGGGCGAGCTTTGGGAGTCGCCTTGGGGCGAGCGGCACTGGCGGCGCTGCTAGGCTGCTCCTTGGCCGGTGCTGGTGTGGCCTCCTGCTGCTGGGCGGCGGCCTGTTTGCTGCGGCTTTCGAGACTGTCGAGGCGTCGCTGGCGGATCTCCTGGGCGGAGAGACCGCTCTGAGTGGGCTGGGGTGCCTGACGGGAGGCGTGGGGCTGGGCTGGTTGGTCAGTCGCCTCCCGGTCTTGGGTGGGCTGCGGTGCCGTGCCACCATGATGTGGGTCGAGTAGCCGCAGTCGCTTGGCACGCACCTCCTCGGGATCTGCACAGACGCACACACGGTACGGTCCATAGCAGACAGACAGACGGACAGACAGACCCGCACACCGTGACACAACAGTGTGGCGGATGGTGCACCTTCCCGTGTGGTGGCATGCTGACCTGGTTGTTGGCTCTTCTTGGCGGCATCTTCGCCGCGGTTGCCAAACAGCCAACTCCACATCAAAAATGCGACACAAACGGCAACAAGGACTGAGCGGATGAATCGAGCACACACCAAGCACAGAACCGCACGACGCTGCAGTGCTTTCCATGATGCGTGTGTCTGGTTCGTTGCTTACACAGCACAGGGAGGTATGCGAACGACGAGAACGCTCCTGGGAACGCGCCTTCCTCCCCTACAGGCGACTCGCTGTGGCTGTCAACGCTGAGATTTGATTTCCAATACTCATCCACAATAGCTTCCTGACCCATAATCGTGGGGTGTTGGCTTATGCGTTTGGGCTTCTCTCCCGCCCTCCAGCGGTTTCACGGAACCTTTAATTTGCGATCTTGAACGTGTGAAACAGAGATCTCCAGCCCTCCACGCCACCACTAGAGTGCCTGTGGGACCGGGATTCTTTGCTGTTGTCGTTGATCTTCGCCGCCAAAGTGACGGCCACGCGAGAGAAGTGAGCATCTGAGGGCGTTGTTCCCTCTCTCCCTGGGCACAAGTTCGTCACCATGGGGCAGTCGAAGTTCAGAGTGCTCAACCTCATCAAGCCCATTATGTGTGTCCTTCCTGAAGTGACCACACCGGAACGAAAGGTGGGTGAGCTGGAGGACAAGGAGAGTGTGCAGAGGGGCGGGAGGATATGGCTGGTGGTGTGTTCGCTCTGCTTGCTGTCTGTGTGTGTTTGGGGTGTGTCAGGTGCCTTTGAAGGAGAAGGTGTTGTGGACGGGCATATCGCTGCTGATCTTCCTGGTGTCCTGCCAGATCCCCCTCTACGGCATCACCTCACACAAGAGCGCCGACCCCTTCTACTGGGCGCGGGTCATCCTCGCCAGCAACAGGGGCACCCTGATGGAGCTCGGCATCAGCCCCATCGTCACCAGCGGCATGGTCATGCAGCTGCTCGTCGGCAGCAAGATCATCGAGGTGGACCACTCGCTCAAGGAGGACAGGGCACTGTTCAGCGGCGCCGAGAAGCTGCTGGGGATGCTGATCACCATTGGCGAGGCCGTGGCGTACGTCGTGAGCGGCATGTACGGCGACATCAAGGACCTCGGTGCGGGCAACGCCATCCTGATCATCATCCAGCTCTTCATCGCTGGCGTCATCGTGCTGGTTTTGGACGAGCTGCTGCAGAAGGGCTACGGCCTGTGCAGCGGCATCTCGCTCTTCATCGCGACCAACATCTGTGAGGTCATTATATGGAAGGCCTTCAGCCCCACCACCATCAACACGGGCAAGGGGCAGGAGTTCGAGGGCGCCGTCATCGCGCTGTTCCACCTCCTGGCCACCAAGGACAACAAAGTGGCGGCGGTGCGGGAGGCCTTCTACCGCAGCAACCTGCCCAACATCACCAACCTCCTGGCCACCGTGCTGGTCTTCCTGGTCGTCATCTACTTCCAGGGCTTCCGCGTGGACCTGGCGATCAAGCACCAGAGGGAGCGGGGGTCCTATCGCCCGTACCCCATCAAGCTCTTCTACACGTCCAACACGCCCATCATCCTGCAGACCTCCCTGGTGTCGAACCTCTACTTCTTCTCGCAGCTCCTCTACAAGCGGTTCAAGTCCAACCTGCTCGTCAACCTCCTGGGACAGTGGCAGGACATGGAGAACGTGGGGCAGTCGATCCCCGTGGGCGGGCTCGTCTACTACATCTCGCCGCCGGAGAGCCTCAACAAGGTCATCGACGACCCCGTCCACGCCTTCATATACATCGCCTTCATCCTCTTCACCTGCGCCCTTTTCTCAAAGATGTGGGTCGAGGTCAGCGGCTCCTCCAGCCGCGACGTGGCCAAGCAGCTCAAGGAGCAGCAGATGGTCATGAAGGGCTACCGCGACTCGTCGCTGGTGCACGTGCTCGACCGCTACATCCCCACTGCTGCGGCGTTCGGCGGCATGTGCATCGGGATGCTATCGGTGCTGGCGGACTTCCTCGGCGCCATCGGGTCGGGCACGGGCATCCTCCTGGCCGTGACCATCATCTACCAGCTCTACGAGATCATTTACAAGGAACAAGAGCAAGGAGCTGCCATCTTCTAGTGACTGACCAACACAACACAGAGAGGGAGGGGAGGGGGGAGGGGATTGGGAGGCGGAGAGCATATTTCTTCAATTACAGCCGGGGTGCAGGGTTGCGTGTTGTGAATGGCTGTGTGGATGTGGCTGCGGTGCGTGTGACTGCCTGGTTGATCGCTTTGGCGTGTTGACTGCGTGTATGCGGTTTCTTGCCCCGTTGGTTGAGTGCGCGATCGCAGAGATCCGATCCGTGGGTGCGTGCGTGACGAGACGACACACACGTGGCCTGCTCAGACAGAGGCATGCTTGATCTTCAGAGACAAGCTGCCTGCCTGCCTGCCTGCATGTCTTCACTCATGTGTGTAATTAGCGGCGCGTCGTCTGGTATGCTATATGGCGTGATGCGATGCGATGCGACGTGATGCGATGCCCCTCTCTATGTGGCTGGCGTCAAATGGACTGGACAGACGGACGGTGAATGGACGTCTTTTAATTGCATGCGGGACTGGCGTAATTAATGACTTTTCAATGCATGGATGGATGGATGGATGACAGACGCACCACTCAATGTCCCCCCCTGATACACGCGCACATCCCTCCACCTCCCCGCCTCATCTGTGTCGTCTACACGCCGCCGCCACCCTCTGACACACACGCATACACACACACCCCACAATGGGCTGCATTTATCCATCTGTGTGTGCGATCGATCGACACATTCTTTTGTCCACACATGCTCACCGGTGGCATTGTCTGCTTTGTCTGTTGTGTCTGTCTCGCTCGGGCTGCTGCCGGGAGATTTGCTGCCGTGGTCAGGTGGGAGGGGGGGGGGGGGGGGGGGGGGG